GCAGGCCACACCCCAGGGAAATTCCCTTTACATTGGATCAGGGATGTGACCTGGTGTTACAATACCACCCTAATCCTCTTTAACATAAAATTACAATCACAGAATGGAGGCCAGCCACACAATTCTGGGAATCATGGCCCAGCCAAATTGATACACACATTTTTGGGGGTCCATAATTCAAACCATGACAATGATATATCAGTTAAAATCCACCATTTGGTAGTTGTTTTCCGTTTGCTCCATTTTTCTTTTCTCCTATTCTTCTACCTGCTTTTGGGTTGAGTATTTTTTATGATTTTATTTCATCTCCACTATTAGCTTATTTTTACTTCTCTTTAAAGTGTTTTTAGTGGTTGCCCTACAATATACATTTTAAGTTAATAACATTTTATTTTCAAATAATATTATACTGCTTTATGTGTATTGTGAGGACCTTATGGCAGTATACTTCCAATTCTTCCAATATTTTGTGTTATTGTCATATAGTCTTTTGTTTTTTAAATAATATTTTATTGTGTTTTCAGTCGAGGATTACACAGTAGTTTAGGTTCCCATTCAACAGTTTTTACACAGGTTGTTCAGTGATGTTGGCTACATTGTTCACAATGCGTGAACATTCTCTATTATTTCCATTTCCATTAATCTAGTTTCCCTGCTCCCTTACATTCTTATCTTTGTTTTAAAGTAATTGTTGACCATTTGTTCTCATATAGATGATTTTTTAAAGGAGCATAGTACTCATGGGTGATATTCTTTATTTTGTGAGCCAGTCTGTTATTTAGGTAAAAGGTGACCTCAGGGGCTAGTTTCGGTTCAAGGTTTAAAGAATATCTCAGGACAGTAGTCTTGTGGAGTCCTTCAGTCTCAACCGGTCCAATAAGTCTGGTTTTTGGGTTTTGTTTTGTTTTTTAGGAATTTGAGGTTCTGTTCCACATTTTTCTGCTACTCTGTCAGGGTCCATCTATTGTGTCCCCAAGCAGAATGGTCAGTAGTGGTAGCCAGGCACCATCTAGTTCTTCTAGTTTCAGGGTAGATGATGCCCTATTATTTTGTTTTGGACAGTTATATTTTACAGTGATAAAAAATAAGAAATATTTTACATTTACCTTAATTTTAACCATTTCTGTGGATCTGCCTTTGTGCAGATCAAGTTTCTAACTGGTATCATGCCTTCTGCCTGAAGAACTTTTACTATTTCTTGTATGACAGATACTGGTAATGAATTATCTCAGCTTTTGTCTGAAAAAAACTCTCTATAGCTTCATTTTTAAAAATTGTCATAATGATTTTATTGAAATATAATTCACATACTATAAAACTCACCCATTAAGTGTACAGTGGTTTTTAGTATATTCACAAAATTGTTCAACCACCATCACTGTCTAATTCCAGGACATTATCATCATCCCCAAAAGAAACCATGTGTATCTGTAGTCACTTACCATACCCTCTGCCCCTAGCCCCTGGCAGCCACTAACTATCATCTTCATTTTTGAAAGGTATTTTCTCTATATATGGAATTCTGGGTTGCTGGGGTGTTTTTTTGTTTTTATTTTTGTTTTCTGTTTCAACTTAAAAAAAAAAAAGCATTCCATTCCCTCTGGCTCTCATAGTTTCCTTTGAGAAGTCTAGTGTAATTCAACATTCAACAGTTTCTGTATGTACAGTTCAGTGACATTACATTCTTCAAATTGTGCAACCATCCGCACTTTCCTTTTCTGAGTTGTTCCTCCCCCATTAACATAAACTCACTGCCCCCTAAGGTTCCTATCTAATCTTTCGAGGTCCTGTTGTCAGTTTGATCCCATATAGATACTTCTTAAAAGAGCATAATGCTCAAGGTAAACATTTCTTTACTAGTTAAGATAAACTATTGTTTGGTTTTAAGAAGACTTCAGGGGATATTTTTGGTTTAAGGTTTAATCTTTATCTCAGAGAAATAGTTTTGGGAGTTCATCCAGTCTCCACAGCTCGAGAAATTCTGGATTCCATGAGATTTTTAAATTCTGTTATACATTTTACCCCTTTTGATAAGGATTCTTCTATAGAATCTCTGATCAAAATGTTTAGTAATGGTAACTGGGCACCATCCAGTTCTTCTGGTCTCATGGCAAAGGAGGCAATTAGCTTCATATTCCATTTCTTCCTCTTATTCCTGACTCTCCTTCTTCTATTGCTCCACATGGATAGAGACCTATTGTTGTGCCTTGGATCCGCTTGTAAGCTTTTCAGACCCCAGGCACTATGCAACAAACTAGGAGGTAGGACAGAAGCCCTAAACATAATATTAGGCCAGTTAACTGGGATGTCCCATGAAACCATGACCCTAAACCTCCAAACCAAGGAACCAAACCCCATGAGGTGTTTGGTTTTACACAGCATTTGCCAGTTCAACTTGTAACAGGTGTACAACTTACTGACAGCAAGTACATTAATCGGCTGTGCAACCATACCCTTAATCAATGCAATTTTTCCATCACCGTAAACCGAAACTCAGTACTCCATAAGCAATAACCTCCCCTTTCCCCTTCCGTCCCTCCCCTGTAACCACTAATAAACTTTGGTCTGTATACATTTGCCTCTTCATGTCTTTTTATGTAAGTGAAGTCATATTTGTTCTTTTATGATTGACTTATTTCACTCAACGTAAGTCTTCAGGCTCCATCCATATTGTAACATGTATCAAGACTTCATTCCCCCTACAGCTGAGTAGTATTCCATTGTATGTATGCACCGCATTTTGTTTCTCCATTTATCCACTGATGGGCATTTGGGTTGTTTCCACCTTTTGGCTATTGTGAATAGTGTTGCAGTGAACATTGGTGTACAAGTATCTGTTTGAATCTCTGCTTTCAAGTCTTTTGGGTATATCCCGAGGAGTGGAATTGCTGGGTCATATGGTAGTTCTATTTTTAGTTTTTTTGAAGAACTGACACACTGTTTTCCACAACAGCTGTGCCATTTTTCATTCCCACCAGCAATGGATAAGGATTCCAATTTCCCCATATTCTTGCCAACATTTGTATTTTTGTGTTGTCTCCCCCCCACCCCTGCCCTAGCCATCCTGGTGGGAGTAAAATGGTATCTTATAGTGGCTTTGATTTGCATCTATCTGATGGCTAATGATGTTGAACGTCTTCTCATGTGTCTGGTGGCCATTTGAATGTCTTCTTTGGTGAAATGTCTATTCAAATCCTTTGCCCATTTTATCATTGGGTTATTTGTCTTTTTGTTCTTACTCTTAGATGCTGATGTGAATAGAATCACTTCCCTAGAAGTGGCAATAGTGAGCACCACACTGATTCTTTCTTACAGTTTCTATCTCTCTGCTGAAATTCCCTATCTGCTTATGCATGTTGTCTATCTTTTCCATAAAAGGGTTTAACATATTGATCACATAGTTTCAGTGTCTGGGAAATGTAATCTCTTTATTCTGGTTCTATTGATTTTTGTATTTCTTGGCAGTTAGTTGTTATTTCTGGCATTTTTTGTCTTGTAATTTTTAATTGATTGCAGGCATAGTGTGTAGGACAGAGCCTGAGATGAATAATACTTATGTCTGGAAATGGGCACACTTATTATAATAGGCCATTAATGTGGGAGGTTGAACTGGGTTTGGGTTTTGTTTTTGTTCTGATTACCTTTGTTCACCACAGGCTTTCAATTTCTCTGATGTTACCTTGTATTTAGAGTGAGGATTGATTTTTCCAGGGAGTTTTTCCCAGTAGTCCTGCACCACTCTCAGCTGTACATCTTTTCTGTGAGCTTGTATCTTAGAGAGGATGTCCCCCATGCTCTTGACCCTCCCCAGCAATAGCTTGCTATTGCTTGTTACTTGGTGCTTTCTAATCTGAAGGCTGGGGGTGGAGGGGAGGACTTCTCTGCCTTCTTGGTTCAGACTCAGTCTTAGATTGGTTTGTGTCCCTGGGGCTCAGGCTCAGGCTTTCTCAGTCTGCTTCTCCTCCAGGGGAGTAGGGGTTCTTTCTTTTACCCTTCCATACCCAGGTGGGTCTTCACCTGTATTTTAGGGGTGATAGGGCTTATTGTCCTTCACTTGGCAGCTTAAGGCTTTTGTTCATTAGGGGAGAAGTGATCAGGTGAGACTTCATACCTTTCCCACAGCAGAGGAGTTCCCCTCCTCTAGGCATGCACCACCAAGGCAGGCTTTCTTCAGTCTCCTGCCCTGCCCCCAGTCTTTCTTGTGAGTACCCAGGGGGGTCTGCGGAGGGCTGGTGCAAACTCCTCTGATGTCTGTAGTTCCCAGAGGTTCTGTACTCCCATACTAGCCCACACCGCTTTTAGCAAGGTGATAATTTTGCCTGTATTCTTTTCTGCTTGTATGAAGTCCCTGCCTTCCTCCTGTTGCCACAGGTAAGCCAGTGTTTGCATCCCATCTCTCCTTGGAGGCCCCTGTCTTTCCTTAAATTTCAGGCTAGTTGATTGCCCTGCGACCTCAGTTCTCTGATACGTTCAACAAAAGCTGTGATTTTGTAGATGATTTAGGCTTTTTTGTTGCTAGTGTGGGAGTGAGACTCTTTCCAGCTTTCTATATTTCTGGGCCTTAAATTGAATCTCGAATGGTAGGTAGGAGTTGACATGGTGAAAAAGGGTGGGAAAGACATTTTGAGCAGAGGAAGGTGCTCAGGCAAGACACAGGGGCATGAAATTGCATGAGAACTTCATTTACAAACAGCTGGTCTGGGGTCAGATTAACGTTGTGAGTGAAAGTTGGGAGGAATAGTGGACTACATCATGGAAGGACCTGAATGCTCAGTGAAGGTGTTAAATTGTATTCTGAAAGTACTGGGGAGCCGTAAAGCTACAGCTTTGGTAGGCATTTGCCATCAAGCCTCTTTTCTTTGGTGATCAAGAGGGATTAACAACACATGGGCTGAATTACTTCTAAAATGATTGCCATACTCTTCAGTCTGTCAGTGTACCCAGTCGGTGTGTAGAAGAGGCTGCTGAGTATCTAATTTGCCCATGTGTTTTGCCCCCAGTTGGGCAGTATTGGTGCTGCGGACAGTCCTGAGGAGTGGGAGAAGGTATGGGACAACTGGAGGCTACTGACAATGGCTGGGATCTTTGACTGCTGGGAGCCCCCAAAGGGGGGAGACATCCTGTATTCCTACACCATCATCACAGTGGATTCCTGCAAAGGCCTGAATGACATCCACCACAGGTAAGTCACGCTGCTATTCCTCAGTCCAAAAGGATTCAGAGGAGCATTTGTCCTCTTTGCTTTTAGATAGCTAGCTTCTGGAATTCAAAGTTTCTTTATGCACAGATTTAGAGAGTAGGAAACTAAAACAGTTGCTTAACAAAATATAATTACTGTCAGTTCTGCTGTAACATGACATGCATTCCTAAAAATCACTGCACTGTGCAAAATTGTACAATAAAAAAACAAAGCTCTAAATAAATAAATACCACAGAGCTTATGGGAAAAGTGAGGTGATGGGCGCAACACTTAGAGCTTTGTCAGTGATACATCAAAAAAATAATGTTGTTGTTAGGTGCTGTCGAGTTGGTTCTGACTCAGAAGCACCCTGTGTACAACAGAACGAAACACTGCCCGGTCCTGGGCCTTCCTCACAATCATTGCTATATTAGAGCCCATTGTTGCAGCCACTGTGTCAATCAGTCTATCTCGTTGAGGGTCTTCCTCTTTTTCACTGACCCTCTACTTTACCAAGCATGATGTCCTTCTCCAGGGACTAGTCCCTCCTGATAACATGTCCAAAGTATGTGAGACAAAGTCTCGCCATCCTCCTTTCTAAGGAGCATTCTGGCTGTACTTCTTCCATGACAGATTTATTCGTTCTTCAGGCACTCCATGGTATACTCAATATTCTTTGCCAACACCATAAAAAATAGGACCTAATAAAAATTGTAGCACAGTTTTATACATGTTAAGTGGTTAAGAAATATAAAAATACTCCAATAAATATGGCACTTTACCTTGAAAAACACCTGAAGTTTGCTTGTAGAAGTGGGTGTCAGAAGGGTTGCACTTCATGAATTATTATGAAGTAGTGGAAGAAAGGTTATCAAAATTTGTCATCTTTTGCAGTCTTAAATCCTGGGGCATGTTTTTTCTGCCTTGAAATGTAGTTTCTTTGAGGCATGTGTTTATAATAGATAACCTATTTCATCAAAATTAAAAATTCAGTCCGATGTATAGCCTCCTTCTTCAAGTAACATCTGTATCTCTGCTGGAGATTCTTTTGCAGCTTTTTTATCTGTATTTATTACTTTGCCCAACAGCTGAAGGCTTTGGAAATTGTAGTGATGTTTGAAACCATCAAACCAGCCACTACTATCACTAAAACGAGCCAATTCTGCAGGATTTAAGGTCTTTGTATATAGATAGTGCTTTCTCTTTCCGAGAAAGATTCCAATTTCCTCACTGTTTAGCATTCAATCCATGTGCTAAATAATCTTTCTTCTATTCCTTTAACCAAACCAACCTGTTGCCATTGAGCTGATTCTGACTCATAATGACCCTGTAGGACAGAGTAGAACTGCCCCATAGGATTTCCAAGGAGCAGCTGGTGGATTCAAACTGCTGACCTTTTGTTAGCAGCCGTAACTCTCCATAGCTCTTAACCACTGTGCCACCAGGGCTCCCCTATTCCTTTAGGCCTTGTTAATTTAGAAGCATTTCTGAAGTTGTTCCAGCCATAGGCCTTTTTTTTTGCAGCATTGTCACTGATGTGGATTCCATTATGCGTATTGCTCAGGAGATAGCTTTTTTTTTTTTTCTTTAAGCTTGCACTGCTTGGCATGTTTTGAACCATGAAGAGTGTTTGAGATGTTGAGTGAGTGTTTTTTTAATAGAAAAGTTCACAATTTTAAAAGAATAGCAAAACACAACTTTGTAGGATAATACATGGCAAACTGAGATGGTTGGTAAATATTTGAAGTGTGTGCATGTATGCGTTTTGTGTGTTCCTACAAGGCTCAGTTCATCTGGGTGCAGTTTTCTATGTTCACCTAGTGTTTTTTTTTACAAACAAAATCGTGCATAAGCAAATGCATAATCTGTGGTTTGCTCAAATTGTTCTCATAAATTAGTCGCATTGGAACAGATGCACATCTTGAAAAGAAGCACTAGCAGATTTGACTGTATTTGTGTAGCACATTTGTAATTTTTCCCAGATCTGAGCACCCTCAGAATTGATTTTTTGATGTTTTGCTGCAAAGAATACAGTGTTTTACATACTGAGATTACCTACTTTAGCCTTATCCTAAGTGTATCTGTGAAATCATGTCTTGGTGTGATGTAGTAGTTATATTTTTTTGCTAATTCACCTTAATATAAATTCCCTTAATTCATCTAATCTAAAATACCACTGATTAAAAAATATACAATTATTTTATATGCTGCTAAGAAAGGTAAAGTGCTGCCAATTACTGCCAAATAACTATATCAGAATACAATGCAAAAATGCCATTCAATATAAGATGTATCTGGATTTCAGAGATTTTAAAATGTTTTTAAAGTATCTGATGAAATTACAGTATTTAACTATTAAAATATATTTTTATGCATATATCTCCTAAAATCAGCTGTACCATTCACCAGTGAAGTGTGTACCACGCTTTCCATTGGCCTAGGACACAGAAGCCAGTTGTTTCTAGGTGGTATGAAGGGACCTGAAATAGGACATGCCTGTGAGTGTTCCAAGAATAGACATCTTAGAATGCCTGAGAGGTGTCAGGGAGGGTGACTGCAGTCGTTTCCTAATGTCATCTTAGACAGCCTCTCTGCTTTAATGAGGCATGGTTCCTTCCCTTTGTTCACAATTATGTGAATAGCCCTTTCTTACTATAAGTCTTTCACAGGTGGTAAAGCTGGAGATTGTTGTTGACAGACATGTTTTTCAGCATCTGTATTTTTCTAGACTAGAGCATCATAGAAAGTTCACCAGTTTGCTAGAGTGTATGCCGGAATGCACTGGGCTCTAGTCATAGCACTATTCACTGTCGTTGCCATGACACTGACTCTCCTAGGGTTGGATTTGGTGCCCTCTCAAGTTGTGCTCAGGGAGCCTCCATGGCAGCGGTCAGCCTGTGATGCACAGAGGGAGGCAGGCTTTCCCTTGTGATAATTTGAGCTATTAGTGGACTCATGTCTCTCTCCCTTCTCTCCCTACCCTCATCTCACCTCTCCCAACCAATGTTATGACTGCCCTGGCTAGGATGCCTGCCATATTAGATGGAGATGAGGCAGTCTCTAAATGGCTTGACTTTGGTGAGGTCTCAACTCAGGAGGCTTTGAAGTTAATCCACCCCACAGAGAACATCACCTTCCATCCAGTCTCGCCTGTGGTGAACGACTCCCGAAACAACACTCCTGAGTGTCTGGTTCCTGTTGACTTGCCGGTAAAAAAGGTAGGGACCTGCGACCATTATAGTTCTTTTTGAACTTTCTGTCAGTATGGTCTTTTACAATCAGAACTTTAATCTAAACCACCAAAAACTCTCATATTCCTTGTATATGGCAAGGTAGAGTAGAGCAATGATTCTCAAACTTGGCTGTGACTCAGAGTCCTTAGGGGAGCTTTTTAAAAATGTAAATGCTGGGCCCTGTCTAGACCTACTGAATCAATATTCAAGGCTGGGGCTGGAGCTTCTGCATCATTAAGAAGCTTCTTCAGTGATTCTGATAATAAGCCAAGTTAGAGGACTCCTAGAGGAGCTAAGAGAAAGAAAAGGAACCCTTGACCATAATTGTATCTCTGTCCCCAACCCACCTGTCTGATTTTTTATGTCCCTTTTCTGTACCTCTTCTTTTCTAACTACAAGCTGGAGAAGGAGTTGTAGGTCTCTATCTCCTACAGGAGGATTTGAGAGCATCCATGTCATGAACTTTAACCTCTTAGAATTAGTAAGGATCCAGAGGATCTATTTCGAAGGGAAGATGAGCAGGCAAAAGGCCTACAAATAGGGAGGGAAGCTCCAAAGCAGAAACGTCCAGGCTGGCCCCCACTGACATTTGAGGAGAGACGTTTAAGAGTAGCAGTTGTTTCTAGGTGGTATGAAGGGACCTGAAATAGGACATGCCTCTGAGTGTTCCAAGAATAGACATCTTGGAATGCCTGAGAGGTGTCAGCGAGGATGATTGCAAGAATAGCTACCCCTCTCGTTTTTAAAAGTTTCTAAAGTTTTTCATCTCCACAGTCAGTGTCTTCTCTTTTGTCTCAATTCTCTGCAAACTCCTAAAACCCTGACACTTCATCTTTTTTTTCTTTAGATATCTCTAAAAATGTGATCACAGCTAACGGATTTTGCACATTGTCCCATCTCCGCCATGGTCTTTACTCCGAAAGAACTCCTGTTCTAGAAAGGTGGCAGTATGCCAATCCAGAGCCCTTTAGTTCAGGATTGGGGTGCAGGTGTACGGAAGCAGAGCAAGCAGTGACAGTCAGGGAGAAGTTGTGCACAGGTGCTGAATAATGGGGAAACAAGTTAGCCTGTTCAGCCTTAGGCCCAGAATCTCTGATCATAGTGGCTGTTTGAGGCTCATCCATCTCTCTCCAGCCTCATTTCCCAACACTTCTACTGGTCACACTGAATTACATTCTTTTTCATTCTTTGCACAGGTTTGGAATGCCCTTCATCTCTCTTCTCTGCCTGGTCCAACACACCTCCTCTGTGAAGCTGTCTCTTAGGCCTACTCCCCTACCCCTTGGAGCACACTCAGCGGCTCCTTCCTTCCTTTGTACTCCCAAAGCACTTTGTACATGCTTTTACCAGCATTTATTACAGACCACAATCTATTTCACAAATTTGTGAGTTCTCTGAGAGTAGAAGCTGTGTCTTGTTCATCTTTGAACCCTCAGAATTGATCACAGTTTTCCTTAAACTGTCACTGAAAGAAGGAAGAGGAAGTGACTAAGGAGACAGATGTCTGAGAGGTATGCTGAAAGCATGCTTTTAGGATAGAAAGTTACAAAATATTTCTTTTGAAAAGCAGATTGCAGTTAATGTAATTCATTGCTATTAAGACTGTGGGCCCTGGAGTCAGACCGCTTGGACTCAGATCCCTGCTCCACCACCTACTAGCAATGTGTGACCTTCAGCAAGTGACTTAACTTCTCAGAGCCTCAGTTTCCTTCTTTGTGAGATTGTGGAAATAAGATGTACCTCGTAGTGTTGACAAAAAGATTAAATAATAAAATCCACATAGAGTGGATAGCACAAAGTTAGCCCTCAGTTAAGTGTTCAGTTACAATTAGGTCTATATGTGTAGAGAAAGAAGGAAGAATCAGGAGGTTAATCCTAGTCTAAAAATGTCCAGCCTTACTCATTTATATAGCTCTAGCATTAGGAGGTAGATGCTGCCTGGACCCCGATAGTGAAAAAAAAAAAGAGAACACTTCTAACTCCTGGAGTCCCATCTGGCCCTAGTAACATTTTCCAAGCCTGGGGCAGTACCTAATGCCTCTCCCCGTTTCTTCTCTTGGAGTTAGCCACCTTCTTAGGCTTTTCCCAAATGCTTGAGCAGGGTGGTTTGAGCTTTGTCCTCCTTTCTCCTAGGAGCTCAAGGCAAGTGGCAGCAGCCAGAGGATGTTGCAGTGGCTGGCCACAAAGTCACCCAAAAAGGAAGATTCTAAAATAGCCCAAAAGGAAGAGTCAGATGTGCCTCAGTGGTCCAGCCAGTTCCTGCAGAAGAGCCCAGTCCCCACCAAGAGAGGCAGTGCAGGACTCCTGGAGCGATGGCTGAAGCAGGAGAAGGAGGAGCCCCTGGCCAAGCGGCCTCACTTCCAGTAACCCAGGGCTTCGGAGACCAAGGCCACAGTTTGCTGTACTCTGCTGCCGCTGCTAACAGTTTTTTGAAGTGTGTGTGTGTGGACTAGGGGGTGGAGGGATGCATGATAATTTGCTTTGGATTGTTTCTGACATGAGGAAGGAGGTAGCACAGTTTTAGTTGACAGTTGTGGGCTCTTGGGGCGCGTGGCTGTTCCTAGCTGCGACAGGAACCCAGCGTGAAGCTGATGGGTGGCTTGGAGAAATGCCCACTGTTCCTGAGAGGAAGAGGAGAGGCCATCACCATCACCAGCCTCTAAGGGCGCAGGGCAATATGCCTGGGCAGACCTTTCCTGCTCGGGCTACCGGAGCCTTCCTTTGAGGCCTGACCCTGCTGCGCACTCACAGCCCTGGCCTGGTGCTCCCAGCAGAGGCTGTTCGCTGTTTAGGCTTTGGACTCTGTCTTTCAGAATTTTAAGTTCTTAAAATAAGTTTTTTTTTTTTTTCAAATGAATGTATAAATTATATTTGATAATCTATATTTTGGAAAATGATGGTAGTGGGGCAGTTCTGGAATTTACCCAGTTTTCCCCTTGCATCAGTTCTAAGGAATGGGTTTTGTCCCAAACAGGGAGCACTGGACAAAGCTGCTTTTTTGGAAACAATAAAAAAGCTTGGTTGGGGGCACCCTGTAGAGTCTCTTTTCACATAATACTTGGAAGTCTGAATCCTTTAGCTTAAAACTAACTTTGAGTGCCTGCCATGAGCAGGAGCTGGGGGAGAACCGGGTGCAGAGAACCTGGCCAAGACCCTCTCCTTACCGCAGGGAGCCTAGGATCTGGGTGTGTAGAAGCCCTGGATGGAGACCACCTAGCCCTATCCAGAGATTCCAACCCTGGATAGAGCAAGGCACAGAGGAGGCTGCAGCCTTGGGGGTGGGACTGGGGGCTTCCTTCTGAGGGCCTGGAAATGAGGCTGCGCAGAGAGACCCCCACCTGCCCCAGCCTATGATGTGCTCTTCGAGCTGAATCACTTTATAATTAGGTATCATTTTGATGGTTATCTATTTGTCCATCTCCCCACCCCGACTATTAATTCCATGATAGCAGAGACACTTTTTTGACATTACTGCCTTTCCAAAACCCCCAAAAAACAAACCCGTTGCCGTCAAGTCGATTCCAACCCATAGCGACCCTGCAGAAGAGAGAACTGCCCCACCAGGTTTTCAGGGAACGGGCTGGTGGATTTTAACTGCTGACCTTTTGGTTAGCAGCCGGTGTGCAAATTTTTCTTAAATGAACATGCCGAGCCCTGTGCTACAGTGGGGGAAGGACAGGCATTAACCAGATGTCACACCTTGCAAGTAAGTACTTGCTTGTGTACTAAAGGTAAAAAAACGAGAAGACTGGAGGGGGCTGCTGTGGATGAGGTGCTCCGAGAAGGCCTCTCCTGTAAGCGCCGAGGGGAAGAGACGGTGCAGAGAGGTTGGGTGGAGCCAGCGCGGGGGCGGTAGTGTGACCTACTCGGAGGTCCGGGGCCTTCTAGGTATTCAGATGTGGGAAGGGGTAGAAGAATCTTAACGAACGCCAGGGCCGGGCCCGCTCCTTCTTCTTTCGGGCGTCCTGGAGAGAAGATCTGACAAAATGCTGTCCCAGGAAGCTGGAAGAGAGCTGGCCCCGAATTGATCGTGCAGGACGCGGCGGCGACCCCCGCCAACTGCGGCTCCGAAGGCGGCGCGCGGCACCATAGCAGGGAGGCTGCCGCACTGCCGCCGTGCAGACCCCGCCCACTGCCGGCCTTGGCTCAGACTGAGGCCCTATGCAAATCAGGGATTGGAATTTCCGCCAATCGGAGGGGAGCTCCGAGACTGAGCTGCTAATGGAAGGCGAGCGGCGCCTGGCGCGGCACGCCTCCAATCGGCCTCTACGGGCGGGGGCGGACCGCGGGGCCAGCCGGGGATCCTCCGGCTCCGGCCGGCTCCCTCTGCCTGGTCCCTCTGGCTTTTTTTTGTTTCTTAATTTCTCTGTTGAGCGCCCTCCCTTCCGGTTGAGGAAGCGGTGTTGGCGCATGGGGGTTTACTTAGTCCGCCGTTTTCCCGGAAGAACGAAATCGTTTCGCTCATGGCCTCTGTTTTTGTTTGGGGTAATTTGTGTGGGGGTTGGTTGTGTTATTGAGTTTTTTAAAATGCAATAATATACCGGAATTTTTACTGTTATGACTATATTGTCAAATTTGCCTTAAGTTAAATAAACAAATGACAAAAATGAACTTCCCTTTGTTTTTCATTACTACTTCTCCATTGCTTTAAAGAGTTGCAGATCAGGTTGGTGGGAGGTTTTCATTTTAAAATGAAAAAATAGAATGTCCTCAGTGGCATGTATCTTTTTCATTCAGGATTTTATAATATCACACAGACGTGATGTCAAAAACACATACTTGTATCTAAGAAGTTTCAGGTTTACAGAAATACATCTTGGGCAATTCATTTTGCAGCTTGTTTTTTTCTGAGTCATCAGGGATGTGTATCCTCAGCTTTACTAACCCATTGCCGTCAAGTCGATTCCGACTCATAGCGACCCTATAGGACAGAGTAGAACTGCCGCAGTTTCCAAGGAGCGCCTGGTGGATTCAAACTGCCAACCCTTGGTTAGCAGTCAAAGCTCTTAACCACTATGCCACCAGGGTTTCCACTCAGCTTTATTAGGTTTTGCCAAATCGCTCTCCAATTTTTCACTTTTTCAGGGGCATATGAATCCCCATTTCCCCAACCTTCTTGCTTACTTAACCAACCAAATCTAACCAACAAACATGGCAGCCCTCCCCTGCCTGTCTTAACTGGCATTTCCTCTCTGGGTGAGGCCATGTCGTTAAGCCAGGACTCCAACTGTTCTTTGGGGCAGGTGGGGAAGCCCTAGCATGTGGCTGTCTGGCCCCTCCACTGGGCACCAAGATGACAGCCCCCGCCAGCCCCTGCCCTAACCCTGCTGCAATTAGGCTTGGCTCCAGGCCTTAAGGGGATTCTTTCCTACTCTGCAGGCTTCCAGGAGGCAGAGGGTACGTGGGGGCCCGTGGTCCTAATAGGTGCCCACCCCCTTCTCCTGTCCGGAGTCTATCTGGACCCATCACCTGCAAAGCTTGTGTGTTGAAAGCCAATCCCACTTTGTACAGAGGCAGAAACAGACCAGGCAAGGGAGGGATTTGGCCAAGAGCGCACACCTTGGATTCAAATCCAAGGGGCTCCTGGCCTGGGAAGGGTGTCTCAGCTTGAATTTGGACAAGATCCTACTTGGTGCTGGGAATGGCCTGGAGGGGATATGTCAGAGTGGGAACCACAGATAGTGAGGGGTGCCTCAGACTCCCAGATTCCCACCTGGGCTTGTCCCAGACTAATCTTTGCCCCCTCACCCTTCTCAGCCAGACTGAGCAGCAAGTGGCTGGAAAGATGGAAACCCCATTCCCTGGGAAGAGGAGCTTTGGCTCAGGCTGTACAGGAGGATCCCCAATACATGCAAGACTCTGACCAAGTCCTTTGCCCCCTCTGAGACTTGGTTTGCCCATCTCTGAATTAGGAGGGTGGGTGCTCACAATCAAACTCCCAGGAACCCAGAATAGCAGAGACAGTGGGTGTTGAGGGAGGCCCACGACCTCTGGGTTGAGTGTCCCTCCTGTGAAGATTGGTGAGGGTCCCCCTGTGTCCCAGTGAATCCAGGAGGAGAGGCATGCTGCAGACTCCGAAGGGAACACTCTGGTGGGCCGCAGAGGGCACCGGTGAAAGGGGTTGGACAATTAAGCTGAACAACACAGAAGAATGTAAAGGACAGTGTTTCCCAGCTGAGACCATGTTCCAAGCAACCAGACTCCGAGCCCCTAACTGAGGCAGCCAGGAACCTTGGCTCACACTCAAGGTTCTGTCTGTCGATGAAGGGCAGGGCCTGGGAGAGACAAGAGGAAGTAGGCAAGAAAGGAGGCCTCTGATAGGGTTCTCTGCAGGGTGGACTGGACGAGGCCCTTGGATGCTGATGGCAATGCTGTAGTGAAGGCTATGAACCCAGTACAGACACCCAGCCAGCAGGCTAGGTCTGGCTCTCACCAGCTTATGGTGTCCTTCAGCTCAGTCTCCTTCAGGACCACCACCATATGGGATTTCTTGTCCTGTGAAGTGGCTGGAAAGGCCCTCATAGAAGACCTAGTTGAGAGATCTCAAAGTGGGGGGCTGCAGGCCACATTTGGCTCACACACTTATTTTGTTTGGCCCATACAATATTTATTTTTTGAGGCTACATCTTAGAAGTGGGAGGCTTCACACAAAAAAGTTGGTTTCCAATTAGAAAAATTCTCAGGAGGCACCTCTAATAGCTGGGCCCCGTGGCCGGGCTATGGTATCCTCCCCGGGCCTCCCTGGACAGCACAGGCTGCTCCCAGGCTCCGGACGGGGACTTAGAAGCATTTTCAGGAGGCGCTTCTGGCTAGGTTTGAAAAAATGGTAAGCTCTGGCCATACAGAGCCCACACTGCTGTTGGGCAACAGTCAGCAGGAGCAGGTAACCACTGCCCGCTTCAGGCAGGGCCTGTGTCTTCCAGTTGGTCAGACTGCCCTACCTGGCCTGGGCCTGTGAGCCTCTATGTTTAAGATCCTTGGTCTGGCTCCTCCTCACCCTCACCCCCATCTACCCATTTTACAACTGGGAAACTGTGATAGATTTGCCATGTGTCAACTTGGCTAGGCTGAACTACATTTCCCAGAATTCCCTTTCTTGTATGGTTCCCATTAGGATGGGCCACAAGGTTGAGTCTTGCCAGATTTGGAAGGAAGCAGCCATTCTGGTTGCGGATCTGCTGACTCACTCAGCTAGCGTCAAGCAGCAGCTGGGCCTGCAATTGCTCCAGCCTTTACCTTCTCTGGATCCTCCTCCAGTTTTTCTGACTCCTGAGCTGGGTGTCTGTGTTTCGCTCTGTGATAGAAGTTCTCAGCTTCTGCAGTCTACTTTCATCGCCAAGGTCAGAGGAAACAAGAATGGACACAGGTTTCAGTCTGTCCTCCTGGGGCTCCAGCTCATGCTAGCGAGGTTTCAGCCTGCTCATGACCTTCCATCCTGACTGCCTGCTCTTGCGCTTCCGGCTCCAGCATCAGACGCAGGCATACAGCCTTCCAGGCTGCTTAATCAGCCCCCAGAATTGTACAAGCCAATTCTCTGTAACAAACCGAATATATATACGTATATATATGTGTGTACATATGTATGTACGTATATATATATGTACATATGTGTATGCATGTATCTTCTAGTTCTGCTTCTCTGGTTGAACCCTGGCTAATGCAGGAACCCAAGCCCTGCCGATTCTCTGGCCTCATGACCTATCATGTCTACTCCCTGCTTTTACCACATCCAAACCATTCACCATTCCCAAAACTCAGGAGCTTCTTTTATAACTCAGGGCCTTTGCTTGTGCTGGGACTCCAGCCTGGAATGTCCCTGTTCAGAAGCTGCTGGTCTACCTGTCCTCCTTCACCTGGCTGAGCTCCTTGAGGGCAGGGAGCAGGTCTGATTGGTCCCCATTCTGCCCCTGCCCCCTTCTCTTCCCAGCCTGGAGCAGTCAGCAGTGGGTGCCATTGATATGTACTGAGAGAGTGGCTGTGTATGAGGCCCTTGGCATACAAGATCTCATTTTATTCTCCCAGTGCCTCTGTAAGTACCACTGCCCCCATTTTGCAAGTGGAAGTACCCCCAGTGGCAGTTCCTGTGGGAAGGACAAGGGCCTCTCTGCTCCTCAGACTAGTGGTGCTACCAGAACAGCTAATGTGCCCTTTGGCCACATCCCCCAAGGCTGATGCTTGGAACAAGGAGATGTCAGTGCCCCTGTGCCTAGTGCTCAGACCTTCCCCAACAGGAAGAGGGAAAGGCTAGGTTGACCCAGAGGAGTTGCTGGGTGAGATTCCATCCTCTGAGTAGCTAAGGCTGAGCAGCCTGAAAAAGGGCCTGGGTCCCTGGTCTTCCAGCGTCTGCAGGGTCCTCCTGGAGCCAGGGAGAAGTCAGATCTGGGGACGCAGAAGGCAGATCTGAGATCCCAAGGAGGTTCATTGAGGCAGGAGGCAGGATCCTGGAAAGGTAGAGAGTGCTACACCTGAGAGGGTGCAGGGATGCTGCAGGAAGCCTGGAGATCCTGGACCGGGGCAGTGTGTCCAGACTCTCCCTAATCAGCAGATAAGGGATTAAAAGAAAATTTTTTTTTTGCCTCCTGTGGTGAAATGAGTTCCTTTTTCCCATCCCAAGCCCTGAGGAGTTTTTACCTTTGCCCTGGTTTTTTGGAGAAACTACTTGGGGGACCTCCCAGGTTGCTTTCTACCCCAGAGGGTTGTTAGTTTTGTCCAGGGAGGAAGGCAGTCTCTGTCAGCAGAAAATGTTACTTTTGTACAAGACCTGAGTTAATTGACATCTCTTGGGCTTGTGACTCTCCCAAAATGATTGACTGGGCCACAGTCTTACAAGGGATTGGTTGACTTTCTATTCAAATAGTGGCTTGAAAATCCACTCAATATGATTAGTAGATTTGCAGTCCACCAAGGAGATTGGTCGATTTGTGGTCCTGCTGCGAGGCCCATGCCTTGAAATTGAAAAGTTTACTTATATAAGCAGCTAACCCCACAGAGGTTCTTAGAGAGAAGAGGCTAGGAGGGAACCTCGAGACCAAGAAGAACCTAGAATGGAGCTGTTTGGACCCAGCATTCCTGAGAAACAAACCTCCTAAAAGGGCTGTAATATGGACCAAAGGCTATAACAGAGAAGATGGCGAGAGGCCCAGAAGGGGCCCCGGTAGCAGAGAGTTGGCGTTGAGAGGCCCAGAAGAGGGACCCCGTGGCAGAGCCTGTGGTGACAGCAAAAAGCTGCTGCTAGGAGAGCAGCAGCCAAGCAAGCTGCTACAGTGGCTATGAGCTGGGCCACTTAGCAGCAGAAAGGCTGATGGGGGAGAGGCTGAAGGCAGAGAGGCCTCCACGGCCGAGAGGGAGCATGCATGGCCGAGAAGGCTTGCTAGCATGGCAGAGATGACTGAGAGAGCTGTCCTGGTTGACGCAGTTGATCTTGTCCTCAGTTGTATCCTTTTACTTCTAAGTTGATCCCAGTCTGAGTTGTCTCCTGAGCTGTATACCAATAAACCACTTAACTGTAAGTACGGTTCATGAGGTCTTTGGTCACTGCAATGAATTATTGAACCCAGCAGAGAAGTATAGAGTGCCATAGTTGGGGGGGACAGCTGGTGTCAGAAACGGTGAAGAAGTTGTAGAGCGGAGGTATGTCTGACCTCCCCCTCATAGGAACCAGCTTTGTGGTGATCCTGATTCTTATCCCTTAGAAATTGAGACAATTCCTGACACTAGATTACAGTTGGCATCAGAAGTGAGATTCCTTTCAATGGCTCCTGACTCACAGAAG